CAAATCCTGGTGTTCTCTTCGTGCGTCAGGGATGGAAGTGGTCGCTGCCCTTGGCAACCATCGGACGTTATTCCATCTGATACGGGAAACGGGCATCAGGTGACCTGCTGTTAGTAAAACAATTTATGACGGGAGTGGACAGCCTATACGCAACTTGTCGAAACTTTTGGAGCGTTGGACCGAGCATTTTGAAAAGCAATTCAATCCGCTGGATTTGTTGGATTCCGCCCTGGTCAGTGATAGCACTGCTCCGTGGGCTGTTCCTTTGGATCCGCCCTCTCTCAGAAGTGGAACGTGAGATTGGACTATGGAAGTTGAACAAAGCCGCGGGACTAGATGATCTTTATCCAGCCTTTTCAAATTCGGGGACCTCGTTCTTGTTGATAATTTACACGGATCACTAGTGAAACTGTCCCAACCAACTGGAACCGCTCCGTTTTTGCTCTCATCTTCAAAGGAGACTCGCGTTCGGAATGCGGCAGCCATAGAGGAACCAGTCTGCTCCCCATTGCCTCCAAATTACTTGCCTCTATAATCCCTCACAAACTTAATGGCGCTCGTGAAAGCCAGCTTCGTGATGAGCAAGCCGGGTTTCGTTGGGTGGTGGCTGCATCGACCACACCTTCACTTTGCGCCAATGGTTGAAGCACCGTCACATATATTGGTGGCCCACCGTTGTCGTGTTTCTCGACATCAAAGGTGCCTTCGATTCGGTTGCTCGATGTGCCCTTTAAGACTGTCTACTCAGGAAAAGTGTGCCTGAAAAATATGTAGGTACTATCCGAGCATTATACGCGCGTAGCTCGGGCTGAGTGAGGACTTACGGCAAGCTGTCGCCGCCCTTCAATATCTACAACGGTGTAAGACAAGAATGCTCGTTGTCACCTTTCCTCTTCAACTTCGCTATTGACGAAGTCATGGAGATCGCGTTCACAGGAGACGAATTAGAAGATGTGGATCTGCTCCCAGGAGGACGACTTCTTGACTTGGAGTATGCAGACGATATTGTCCTCATATGTGAGAGCTCCCAGACGTGCCAAGCTGCACTAGACAGATTGGCACTGTCTGTCAGCCGCTTCGGGCTTTTCTTTGCACCTTCGAAGTGCAAAGTTTTTTTCTGAGCTTGACAAGGTTCGCCTCCTGCGCTGACCCTTGGTGGGTATCTGAATACTGAATACTGTATTTTGGAGCAAGTAGAAAATAATTCTGTACAACTCCATCGGGTGATAATCAAAAAAAACATTTTAAAAAATATAAACACGTCCGGTGGTTATCCTGAGATGGTTCAGCAACTCCTTCTGTAGCACACAAAATGCTTGTTCACACAGTGAGTCACAAGTGGGTGATATTGTTGTCAAGTGGCAACCGTTCTCTGAAACGTATGTTAGCGAAGTGTAAATCCAACAAAGATTTGAATTTTTACACAGATTCGGCCTCGACGACGTGTTCTGGCAGACTGTTCCAGGCGTGCACAACCCTCCGCCCGAAACACATGGGGTGTGGGATTTTCTTCAGATCAGGTACCACGAGTTTGTCCCTGTGCCCACGTGTGGTGCATGGTACTCGCAAGTGGAGTACCGACCTCAGCATGGGGAAATGACCGAGATGTAAAATACGGTAGGTCATGATAAGATCCACTCGAACACCGCGATATGACAAGGCGTAGAGCGCAAGTTTCATGCACCGGTTTTCATACGATAAGCCTCTCAAGCTGGGGATCAACTTGGTGGCGACGTGTTGTACTCGTTCGATCTTTTGCGCTTCGCCGCGAGTGATCGGACAGTATGCAGACGAGCCGTACTCTACCATTGGTCTGACGATGGAAGAGAAGAGACGAGTGTCGACGTCCTCAGACCAATTGCAGAAGCTGCGTTTCAGCGCCCAGAGCATGCGCAGTCCGTTTCGATACAGTTTGTTGGTGTTGTCGACGGACTTCAAGTCGCAGCGTGAGAGTACACCTAGGTCTTTCACGGAAGGTGTGGGATGCAGTGGTTGGCCGTCTAGGGTGTACGTTCGTCCGTGAACAGCCTTCCCGAGACTCATGAATAGGGACTTAGCCGGGTTGACCGGTAGGTGGACTTCAGCAGACCATACAGCTAGAAGTCGTTCAGGAATTCAACTACTTGGGAAGTTGTATCGGCGCCTTTGGGATCGAAGATCACAAACCGTATAGCAAAAGCTCTAGACACTTTTGCTAGTCTTCGCCACCTATGGCGGCGTCGTGACATCACTCTCTCTTTCTCTGAAGGTTAGAGTGTACAATGCAGCAGTACGTTCAACCTTACTGTACGGTTGTGAGACCTGGCCCCTTAGATCAGCGGATATAAAGAGGCTATTTATGTTAGACTATCGTTGCCTTCGCAGTTTAGCTCACATCTGGGGGGAACACCATGTGAGCAACGAGCGTGTTCGACATCTTGTTTACGGCACAGGAAAAGGAACTGAACCGCTCAGCATCGTTATTTCACACACCGAACTCCGATGGCTCGGCCACGTGTTACGCATGCCAGCTCACCGGCTCCCGCGACTTACGTTGTTTGCCCGCCGGGCGTGTGGATAGAAGAAAAGGAGAGGTGGCCAAGCGATGACTTATTCGAGAGGAATGAAGGTTCTCATTTCGGCACTGGCCTCCATTGGAGTGTCACGGCTCCCTCGTTTGGGTCCGAAAGACGATGAACTCGTTTGGCTGGATACACTTGCTGACATGGCAAGAAGCCGACCTTAGTGGCGTTTTTGCCGAGTTTTTTTGTCCCTCCCCATCCCGTTTAGCCTCCCCTCCAACCACCATCTCAGTTCGTAGCATAATATAATTTTACATAATAATTTTTTGTTGCCTAGTAGCATGCTAGTAGCTTTCGGGAACGATGCCCATGCGTTGCTGGTAGCTCAGCTGGCATGCAACTGTTGCATTTGTTTTCTTTTATGTATTGCGGCACAGTAGCTGAGATGTTTTACACCTCTAGCAAGCGCTTTTAATGATGATGAATGATAAACAGAACGCTTACCCGCCTCGGCTCAGTAATGGACGCAAATCGATCACATCGCAGTTAGCTACCGCTGGAGAGGCTGGGTACAAAATTCTCGCTCGATTTGGAGCGCGAATGTAAACCACGACCGCACAGTTGTATTTGCCGACCTGTGTATGATCAATGCATTTAGGTTTTACACTAGGTCCCCCTTCTTTTCTTTCCCTTATTCTTAGTTCCGCAGGTCATTAGCACTCTACGGCAGCGAAGCATCAGTTCAGATGGCTTATGCACTGATGCCACTTCAATATCTCCAGCTCTGTGAGACCCTGTTATTTTCCGTCATCTTTCCTTTTTAACTCCGCCATTAGCGAAGTCATGGAAACTGCGTTCACTGGATACCACCTACAAGGTGTGGAGCTGATTCCAGGTACTCGGCTTATTGACTTGGATCACGCCGAGGACGTTGCTCCTATCTGCCACAGCTCTCAAACGTGCCAAGCAGCACTAGACAGATTAGCACTGACTGTTAGTTGGTTCGAGCCATGCTTTTCACCCTCGAAATGCAGTCCCGCTCCAAGATTGGCAGGGACCCATACCCGCGCTAACCCTTGGTGGTGATCAGCTAGAAGTCGTTCAAAAATTCTGGGTAGCTACATCAGCGCCAGTGGAGTAGAAGATGAGATCACATGCTGCATAGCTAAAGCTCTATGCGCTTTTGCTGATCTCCGCCACCTGTGGCGCCTGCGTGACATCACTCTCGCCCTGAAAGGTAGGTTTTACAATGTGGCCGCCTGTTTAACCGTATTGTATGGTTGTGAAACCTAATCCACCAAGTTTACAGACGTAAATAGGCTAGTTACCTTCGATCATTGCTGTCTTCGCAGCTTGGCTTATGTCTACTGGGAACACCGCTTGAGCAATGAGCTTGTTTGGCGTCGTGTATTCTGGGCAGGAATAGCGTGTAGACCGCTCAGCACCGTTGTTTCATGCACCAGGCTTCAATGGACAAGCCATGTTTTGCGCATGCTGCACACCGACTTCAGCGACTTGCATCGTTTGCGCTCCGGGGATTTGGATGGAAGGAAAGGAGAGGAGACCAAGCGATGACTGGTTATAGTAGTATGAAGACCATCTGTCCGAAGTTGGCATTGCTTGGTGTCTCCCGACTGCTGAGCTAGGGACCGACGGGCGATGAACACGTTTGATTGGGTATACTTTTTTACATGGTAAGGAGCAGACTTCAATGTCGTTTGTGTTGTGAGTTACTTTGTTTCTCCGCTTCCTGATCAGCTTCCCTTCCAACCACGATCTCACGCTTAATGCGGAATATGGTAATACCCATTATTTTACTACCTTTTTACTTTTTGTAACGTTTTGTGCTTCCGTTTTTCCATACCTGTAATTCTTCTATATTGCGGTACGATAGCTGTGGTGTTTCTCATCCTCAACTAACCTGTAGTTATGATGTTGCATTATTTCCCCACTAAGATTCAATGATGTGTCTCAATCCAATTTCGCTATGACTAATCTTGATGGTACTACTGCACTGACAATCTCCATATTGTCGCTAGAACCGGCTGTTTCAGATCTTACTCGGTCATCAGTTCGAAGTATTTGGCTGGCAGCCGTGTCAAGGCCTCGTATCTTAAAGGGTCCCTCAGTCTGAGCAGTGTTACCGGCTATGGGGTATACCTTGGAAACGTGCATCAGCCGGATACATCTTTATGTAGTGACCAACTAAGTATGCGTACGGTACTTAACAGCCTTTTGAGTCTATTTGTACCGGATAACTTTGCTGGAAAGTCTCTTGGCACTTGATTTGTAAAGTTTCTGCTGAGCAAAGATTAGAATATAACATACGCACAACCGAACTGTTTCTGAACGGTGATCCCAGTTTTTGTTCCCCAATCCTTGTTGGCTACTTTCCTCGTTTTAACTTTATCAGATTTTGTGACATTTCCCCTCCATTATGTTACTTTTAGGCCCATTCCATCGCGGACTGTATTATTTTTCACTTATTTTTCTCTGCAGCTTAGCGACTCATCTGCAGCTGTCCCAGTCTCGGTATCGGATTTTGGTGAGTGGATGTGTACCCCTTGATTTATGCTAATTGGTTCAGTGAAGCAGTTCCGTCGCGGCATCCTGTGTGGCGACTCCGAGTGCGTACATAGGCTACTGAGGTCTTCAAGACATCCTCCCATCGATTTCAATGCTGATCCACCGCCTTTATGTTCAGCTGCTTCGAAAGGTAATACTAAAACCTATTAAATGATTTAATGCAATTCGTTTGTGACACTGGTTGTACCTTGACTATCTAGCCGATAAACGTAATTTAACACATCAAGTTTGGTAGGCCGTGTAATCTTAACCATGGCGATGAACAGTTCATTTGAGAATTAATTGTGCATTGTTTGCTCTCCTCTGTGGAGGGAAATCCTCAAGTTTGGCATGAAGGAAAATGGGTAGTGCTCGTAGTTGATATTGCTGGTACGCATTAGTCAACCGCTATGTAAGCATGCATGCTTCAACTTTTCTATGACTATTGGGGAGATATTGATAAATTGGACCGGTAATATTGTTGAGTACCCGGTGTCCTTTCAGTCATCCTTAATTTTAATATGTTGGTATCGAGCTTTCTATAGATGACCGAATATCTGCTAGTAAATGTTGATTCTAAAGGTTGTTAAAACTCAAAATAATTTATCACGTGGGAACGCGAATAAGCGGCGCTTGGCGTATTTAAGTGAAATTTGACTAAGCGATGATGAGGAATCGGATATCAGGGTGCTTCCCCTATTCGGTAGCCATTTGCATATGTATTAGATGTTCTCCTTCTGACCAATTGATATTTATTTATACGAGTTCCATTCCTATTTCCACTTTCCTCACAATTCATTGTAGGAGGACAGGCCTGTTATTCTTACATTTCATGAGATAAGAGAGTATAACTACTGAGTCCGATGATCCCAGCTACCGTTGCTCACTCAGTCAGCTCAATACCTGACACCGAAGTCTCAAGAAAAATAAAGGAGTAGGATGCTGGTAAATCTTCACACGTAATTTGCTTTTGTACCTAAGTGCCGTCGGGGATTTCTGAGGAATAACGAATCAAAGTAGATATTTGACATGGCGGAAATTGTTACTTACTATTGCGATGAAATTTGATTCTAGCTTGGTTTCCTGTTTTGTGCCTCCACTAGATCACTGGCTAACAACCTGTTCATAGGTTGTTTGCATGGGCCAATATTTCCATCTGCTTAAGGCTCAGTCATGGGTGACAACAGCCAACAAATTATTGGTTTAGCGGATGGACCACGGAAGTTCTTTCATCACAACTTCGGGCCTGCAAGGCCAATCAACGTCACTTCGGTCACAGCTACGGTTGAAAAACCAAAAGTCAGTGAGACAATCGGAGACAGCGCGGCTGCACTGATACACAATAAGGAGCGCCGTATGACTCGTTGGGCGGAACACTTTCAAGGTCGGTTCAGTTGGCCACCTGCTTCCGGGCCTCTTCCTACTCAGGTGATGCAGATTGAGCCATGGACTGTTAGTTTATAGGATCCATCAAAGGCCGAGGTCCGAAACGCGATCACACCCCTCAATCGTTTTCGTTCCGCTGACCCAGATTCCCTGCAATATTTAAGGATGGAGGTGAGGTCCTCTGCAAAGCACCGACCTCCCTATTCCAACATCTGAAAGGAAGTGTCCCGGCTAACTGTAATGAACCGATTATAGTGGCAATATACAAGAAGGGCAGTCACACAGACTGTGGTAATCGCAGTGGTATTAGCCTAACGCCAGTTGTGACAAAATAACTGGCGTCGATTCTCGTTCGTCGCCTCACTGGGGAACGGGGTTGTCGGATTAGGGAAAAGCAGACAGGTTTCCGCTCAGAACATGGCTGTATAGGCCATATATTTACTCTGAGGTAGGTGCTAGAGCAGCGCCACACATACCGCAGACCGACAGTAGCTGTGTTCCATGATTTCAGTCGATCTGGGCATTCTATTCGAAATACTTGCACAAAATGTGTTTCCACGGAATATGTAAACATCTGATATATATGGTTGGCGGCATCCGGTTTCGGATTTGCCTGTCACTGTGGCCAGCCACAGGACGCCTGCGCCTACAGAGGGACCATGGATGGCTTGCGCTGCACCACCCACAGCTCCAACCACATACCCCATATCCAGTGTAAACCCGAAGGAATAAGACCGGGAGGCATGCGGATGGGAACCACGTTTCATCAACGGAGCCGGCCCACACTCCTTCACAGGCACACACAAGCACGCTGTATTTGGGGAATCAACCGCACACAAGGCGGTGGCTGGACCGTAGTCCGCCCCACACTGAGTGCATGGAACCGCTCTTTGAGCCTAGCACGGCAACAAGAACCGTGCACCCCGTCCCGTCCAGCAACGACCAACTGTCTCCTGGAGCCAGTATGAACGATGTAGTGGGTAATAGACAGGTAGACACCTTGTCAACATACACATCAAGCGCAACCATACCAGGGATATCAAATAACAGCCATTCACTTTAAACGACAAGCTGAAATTAAATAAACCCAATAATGCATACAGATACGGTGGCATAACTCTTCGCTAAATTACCATATGAAGTAAATTGGTTAGCAACAAATCCGTGATAAGTAAGAAATGTCCACGAGTTACTTAAAATGCTACAAACGCAACAAAATTACCGAAGATAAGCGCAATTAGTGTAAGTAACGTGGCCAGTTAATAGAACATTATTCAGGGAGGCAGAACAAACCAAATAAAGCGGAATGAAATTTAGCCAGCTTAAAAAGACCTAGTTTAAGTGTAAGTTGGTTTAGCCCAACTGCGGTGAAGAAGCATCAAGAATGCAACATCAGCCTCAGCATGGGGCACATCATATATATATATATATATATATATATATATATATATATATATGCAGGCAAACGGATTTCGTGTCTTGCCGAACTACCTCGTGGTGTCAGCTGGGTGGATCGGGATTATCCCGCTCCAGCGAAAGTTCGGCGCAGTGTTCCAGGACGTGGTGGGTTTTCGCCTGGCAAGCGTTCTCCCTATAAAAAGCCACATATGTCCGTGTAATAACACTGCGACGTGGCGGACGTGACTCGCCACTAAATAAAGTCACTGCCCTTTGCTTCACCTCGCTGGAGCATTGTAATCATTCGGCTTGACGCTGAATTACTAGGAGTATTGGCAGCCAGACAAACGAAAGGCGTATGAACCGAGCAATCGGGCACCGACTCTCAATGGGTGCGATTCCCTGAATTCGCCCCGCTGCCTTGCGGGTCATGTCCCTATGACCAAAGGCTCCGGGTGGGGCCTCCTTAGTCAACCCCCTTTCTCAATCTGGGCAACCGGGAAGCTGTATGCCCACACAACAAATGAAATGATGGATGTACAACTCTCTGCTCACGTCTCTCTCTTTGGCCGGGGGTGCTGCCGGCCGGACATGCTATACCTCATTCTACTGCACCACAAACCACGTTCTTCTTTCCACGTTTATACAATCCTCCTGTCCTTGGCAACCCGCCTTCAATTTCGAGTCTCCAAAAGTGCATCGCAAATAAAAACGGTACCTCTGGCCTCCTCAATGAACCACTCAAAATCTATCGCACACATTCTAATACCAACAGTAAGGCTGTTATTGCACCCCCTCGCTCTTCAAGCTAGCTACGTTCAATGTTCGCACGCTCATGCCGATTGGTTCACAAGCTGCTCTTGCGCGAACCTTGGAAACTCTCTCAATCGACGTCTGCTGACCAACCGAAACCCGTTTACAAGACTCCAGCACAACGCTGCGATTGCCCTCACCCTCCCCAAGTTCCAACTGCACATTCACCTTGCGCTTATCTGGAGATGCGACAACTGCAGCCTCTGGTTGCGCCGGCGTAGGGGTTGCGTTAAGCGCGCGTGCTGAGGCAGCGCTCATTGACTGGTTCCCGGTCAACAGTCGTCTTTGTGCAGTCTGTTTGGAAAGCTAAGTGCGATTTTCCAATCACGGGATCAGTAGGCGCTGCATATTCATTGTGGCGGCGTACGTTCCAACTGACTGCAGCCCGGACGAGGCTAAAGACGAGTTCTACCGCCAACTCACTGACTTTCTCCGCAAGAAACGCCGCATGGACATCGTGCTACTCGCCGGTGACCTAAATGCGCAGGTCGGTAGACTAGAGGTTCATAAGCGCGAACTAGGGGGTCAACACAGCCACGGTACTTGCAGGACGGACAACGGCGATCGACTCCTGCAACTGTGCGCCGACCACGGCTTGTTCCTCTCCAGCACCAATTTCCGACGTATCTGGCGCCAACGAGCCACCTGGCGACCTCCGGCGCCTGGTCAATCCTGGACGCAAGTTGACCACATCACTGTTAGTTACCATTGGCGTGGCTGCATAACGGACTGCAATTCAATTTGGAACACTTACCTGACTTTTGATCATGCGCTCGTGTGTGCTAAGTTCGTCCTGCGTTTTGGAGGCACCCAACAACTTTGCCGGAAACGGTTTGACACTGACAAGCTCGCCGTTCTGAATGTTCTCGGCGCATTTCAAACACATTAGCCTCCAGTCTACTCTATCCTCCGATGTTGAGACACATTGGGTACAGATCCAGAGCGCCTTACGAAAGTCCGCAGCCCTGGTCTGTGGCTTCACTAGCCGAGCTGTTAGTCATTGGATCTCCGCACAGTCTCTCCAATCAATGGAAAGTCGTCGAACAATTCCCGCCGGAGTTGAGTACAACGCACTACGCAGAACTACAGATGCTGAGCTCAGACAGCTCCTCAGGAAGGATCGCGAGGTTTGGTGGACACAGCGCGTCATCGAGATGGAGCGCACAGCCTCATCAGATAAGTCCCACAAACTCTACCAACTTATTCGCCCCACGGGAGGCAGAATACCAACAGTAAGTGAGGGTTTGCGGGAAAATGACGGTGAACTAATTCACAGTCGTCACCGTCGTCTGGTACGATGAGTAGAGCATTTTGAAGAGCAATTCAACTGGCCAGCAGCGCAACCGAGTCTATCTTCCGGAGTTCACAGTGCTCCCTAGTGCGTGGATGTTTCTCCACCGACAGAGGCTGAGGTTTCCAATGAGCTTCGCCTACTAAAGCGCCACAAGTAATCTGGCCCAGATGAATTTCCTCCTGCCCTGTTCAAATATGCAGGTCCAGCTCAAACTCGCGAACTGACATCTCTGTTCCAATTGTCTCTGGAACTTATCGACG